TTGTTATTATCATCACCTAGTGTCAATTTTGTCAGCTGCACGTAATCAACGAAATTCATTATTAGCACAGAAAATGTATGATCGTATTGAACCATATTTAAAAGATCAAAAAATCTATGCTACATCAGCTAAAGTCTTGTTAGCAAATACTTATGCATTAGCAAGGAATTTAACACCAGTATCAAATATTCGAATGAAAATGAATCAATCAGGTTTGAAAAAATTGGTTGGTCTTTCTTGGACAGTAGTAGTTAGTAGAAAGAAAGGAAGTAATAGTCGAAAATTTGTTTTGATTTTATTTAGAAATTTCGTACACATGATCGATCACATCCACAATCGAATGAAATCTATGAAGAAATAGAACGTTTAACAATAGAATTAAAACAACATGGATTAGTCGACTATTGATAAATAATGAAAAATCTTCGTGTGTGTGGTAACTGTCGTGAGTAAACCTTTAAAAACAAGTTGTTTTTGAATTGTTTTCTATAGATACTTTTAGCAAATGGGTTGCTCAAGTGCGTCAATCTACAATTATTGTACGAGATGCTAATCGTACACATCATTTATATCTTGGGATGCGGGTGTAAGTATTTTATTTCAACCACATCCACACCCACCTTCAAAGCAATAAAAATAATGGTAATAAAAAATAAAATGAAATGCATTAAAATCAAAGAAAAATAATGAAGAGAAAGTAAAAATCATGTTTGTTACTATTAAGTCTTTTGAAATACTTTCTTGCAGTCATCATATGCACAGATCAGACAGGTTCCTTTCTGATAATCAGCGTTTTTACAGACGTTCGTGCGTAAGCATCGTGGACACTTGATTTTCTGAAATTTCCTTTTACAATTCTTATAAATGCAAGTTACCACATCTCCTTCTTTGTAATCAGCGTTTGGCCACACAATCATATTTGAGCAATGTGGACATTTGACCTTCTGAAATTTCCGTCTACAATTTTCATAAACACAAGTTACCACATTTCCTTCTTTGTAATCAGCGTTTTTCCATACGTTCGAGTCTGAACAATGTGGACACTTGATCTTCTGAAATTTCCGTTTACAATTCTCATAGACGCAAGTTACCACATCTCCATCTTCGTAATCAGCGTTTTCCCATACGATCATATCTGAGCAATGTGGACACTTGAGCTTCTGAAATTTTCGTTTACAATTCTTATAAACGCAAGTTACCACATCTCCTTCTTCGTAATCAGCGTTTTCATACACGTTCGTACCTGAGCAATGTGGACAGTTGATTTCCTGAAATTTCCGTTTACAATTCTCATATGCGCAAGTTACCACATTTCCTTCTTTATAACCACCACTTTTCCATTCATTTACTTTTGAACAATGAGGACATGTTATATTCGCATTTGTTGTTCTATGTGATGAATCTGAAATAGAATGAGGCAGTGTAATGATTGACTTACTGATAATATCTTAAAAGTATGACTGTGGCTGTGGATGTTATTATTATCTCACACCCACACCCACACCCAATTCCGTGAGCTGCGACTGAGCGATAGGACTCGTAGAACTGTCTTATCACAAGAGAATACTACCGTACATAAAACAACTTACCTTTTTTCGATATAGATAGTTGATTCAATAAAGCTTCTAGTTTCAGCAAAGTTTCCGATGATGACGGTGTGCTTTTCGATGAAGCAGCGGCACTGACTGCGTCCTGGTTTGATTGATTGGAGCCTAAACAAAGAGATAATATGAGAATGGGTTTGTGACGGTGGCTGTCGGGTAAGAACGATATCATGGCTGACAAATATAGAATGTTAAATGTCTGCGCCATCATAAACAATGAAAGATGGAATTTTATCAGATAATGACGAGGATTTGTATCTGTTTAACTCTAATCAGAAACTATTTGTGGTATTTGAAATGATTTTTCCATGCAAATAAATATCGTGTTTTAGTAAAGACTTAAAAATAGTAGATGCTCTTCGCTAAGTTGTAACATTTATTTTAGTGAACATACCAGTAGAATCAGTTTTACTTAATTTATTTTGTTTTTTGAATGCTATCGCTTTCTGACGCCATTCCATGCTCTTGTCCATTTCGTTACTCTGTGCTGCGATTTTTGCAAGATCCTGATAGAGATCACCACGTAACGGATCATTTGATGACAGCTGTTCTAGGAATCGAGTAAAATATTTTTCAGCTAAATCAAGTTTATTCATTTCCCATAGTAGCTTTCCTAATGTATGAAAATTTGTCGCTTCACTACAATATTCCTTTTTCATATCCGCAAGAACTTCTTCGAAAACATTTTTATTCTCACTACACAGTTCCATTCGAACAATCCATACTTCGTCATCATCACTTCGTTTAATACTGTCCACACGAAAAATGGAACCAATCATAAAAAGTATTTCTGATTCGCCAGGAAAGTCACTAAATTTACTGATATCGGCAAACGGTTTTGTGGTGACCACCTTTGGATCGGCAATGATATCAAATAAGACTGACTCTAATTTGTTTGTTGAATCAGGTACATCGAGAAAGAGACGAGCTTGTTGTGGATCAGTAGTTGTCGAAACAAATGAATTCACTGAAATATATTGACCAATGGATTTCTTTAAATTCTCCAGTTCATCGCTTGATATCACTTGTCCTCGATATACTCGTATACGATTTTGAACTTGGTAGCGTTGCAATTGATGTTGAATATCGAAGATGAATGCTCGAAACAAAAATATAATATGAATCTTTTCATTACGTAGAGCTGCATTTAGAGTCTTGTAAAAAAACGTTTCTCGTGTATACCACCATAGAGCTTTATCGCTTAAATATCTTTGGTCAAATTCACTAATGTTATCGAGCTCAAAGCTATTACCTTTATATGCGTCTTTACATATCTGAATGAGTTCCTTTTTATCTGTTTGAGTCGATTTTAGCCGTAGAAGACAATCAATAAGTACTTGTAGATAAACAAATTTCCCATTGACACCACCTAATGATTTTCCTGCAGTGAAGAAATTTAATGACCATGATTCTTCTACATTTTTCTGAATTCTATGATCCGCTTTGATTCGATTAACGAGTTTATCAAGATCTACCATTACCGCTTTCACCTATTAACATATAAAAAATCATCAAATCCAATGAAAATTAGCCTGAATATGTTTACTTTTGCGAATTTCCTTGACCATTCTTTATTACCTTTCTCGTCCATACAATAAACATAGATTGATATCACTTGTCGAACTTTTTGAATTAAAGGTACTATTTCTCGTCCTAGTCGACCACTAACAATCATTACTAGTCTTTCGGTTGGTGATCGCTCTTCAATATACTTTTTACATTGCTGTACATTTTGAAACTTCTTCAAACGATTAATAACAGAACGTAATTTTTGTTCTGTATTTCGAGTGTCAGTAGTGTTTGTATTATCATCCAGCCAAACAATGCAGAACTTTTCTAGTTCCTGATCGTTGATAGAAGTGTGAAGTTCATCTGTTGATAGAATAGAAGTTGCCATATTTTTCAGTGTGATAATGTCCGGGAGAAATTAGTTTGTTGTCTCTATGATGGATATAGTGAGTTTTAAGTATTATATCAATCTAAAAAGAATATTGAACTATAGTATTCATAATTTTACCATCTTGAGGGTGTGGCTGGGTTGTCGACAGCTTTTATCGATCACTTATTTTTCGATTGAGAATCAGATATATGAATTACTCAGGATATTCTACAAAGGTGACTTATATATCCTTGTATTTAAGAAATTACTTAAATAATAGTGAAATATCCAAAATATGAATGTAACTGGACCCAGATATTGATACAAACTGTTAAATTCTTTAATTACAAAAGAAATAGATGTATATGTATATAGATAGTAGAGTTAAAACAGATCAAACAAAGATGCCCAACTTTTCTACCAAAAATGTTAAAAGGTCGGAAGGAACCAAAAGAAAGCAAAGATCTGCATTAGCTGGGTTAGTGTGCTAGTTATCCTACTTATCCCGATAACAAAAATAAGCAACTGAAAACTGAGGAAAACTTGTTCATATAGCTGAACGAGAGAATGAAAGAATTAGCGGTAACAACGTAATTTCTGTTGACGCTAACAGCCTTGATTCTTCTGAATATTTCAATTATATATATATATATATATATATATTGACTACCAAAGTTATTTATTTCACTTTCTTCCAATGATTTAAATGTAAAACTTACCAAAATGAAATTGTAATAGTTTGTGAATCTCGGATGGTATTTTGTGTGTGTCGTCGAATGTTCTTTTCGCGGAATGATCCGCTTAGTTTGTTTTATAAAGTAACACTATGAGTCACTTTTTTCTTTTTTTCCAATGACGTATTTTATTATGAAAGAATGTACAAAAATTGACAAAAAGACATTCAAGATCACAAAATACACAAGAAATGTTATTGCAAAGAAAGAGAAAAACAATTCATATGAATTTACGTGCTGTACAATTAAACACTGGTGACACAAAACTGTATTCTTCGACACCATATTGACGGTGAGCATGTAGATGTGGATGTCCCATATATCCTTAATGCACTTGTACGCTTATACTCACCTACACTCTAACTTCAGTCACATCCCTGTCTACAAAATGTTCTATCAGCGAAATACTTTTCTATAAGAAAAAACTTCTCCAGAAAGTCTGCTGACTAATTTTTCTTTAAACAACCAAAATACTATGGTGAAACAGAAGTCGTCTGAATCAACGAGTATTTCTAAAGAATGAGTTTATTTGATTTTTCAATGAATTAAATTCTGAAATTTGTTAAGAAAAATTCACTTCTTTTTTCATCAGACTAGACGATTTTCATTGATGAATCATCATGTTGTTGCTGTCGATTCTTTTTCTGTTCTTTTCTATTTTAAATAAAAAAGGATCTCTTCTCGAATAAGAATTTATTAAATAAAATATTAATGAATTTTTGTTTGAAAAATGTTTTATTGAAATGGGGTAAAAAGAAGAAAGTTTAGAAGATCAATCGGTATTTCATTTATTTTCACTGTATTTTATGAAAAATTAATTCTTTAAACTATAATTAAAGATGTACTAATAATAAATATTTTTATCCATTCCCAAGAATTACGCATGTCCTTCGATAAGACGAGAGGTATGTTCTCTTCCCTCATTTTAAAGTAAAATAAAATCTATTAGTAACTTTCATCGATAATAAGTAAAAATATTATCTTAATCAAAGGACGACATTGTAGAAATTTATTTTATTAGTGAAGAAATCATTTGGAAGTAAAAAGACCTATAAAAATATATAAAATGAACAAAATTTTTTAAATAATATCTGATTAGAATTGAATATCGATTTAAAATGTCTCAAATGTCGAATTTTCGAATAAAAAATTAATTAATATGATTTCATTTAACGTTGTAGATCTTCGATATTAGATGTATACATGAATAAAGAAATGATATATCAAAAGTAATTTTTATTCTTATTCATTGATAGATATATAATACAATGTGCCTAAAAAAGATCATCTTCTTTTCTTTTTTACAAAAACTTTTGATTGTGAGTTATTTTTCCAAAGTTATTCATACAGTAAAAGAATCTAGATGATAATTCTGAAAAGAACAGATGAATTATATTAAATAACAAGGATATTTGTTAAAAATTAAAATCTATTTTTATGCAAAATATTATTGATATTAACTTTGTCAGTATAAATGAATCATTTGAAAAGTTGACACATACTAAATTCAAATGATTTGTGTTTAGATTTGAATGAATCTATATTCTTTTCTTTTCTTTGAAACTTCGTCATTTATATATAAAATAAGAGAATAATATTCTGATATCTGACATGGTTTGTTATAAAAATTAACTTGAGGGTGGGTGTGGGTGTGAATATTATATTCATCTCCCTCAACTACCCATACCCAATAACAGATCTACTAGTAGAAATATTTTATAAGAAAATCAAATATATTTATATTGATCAATTATTATTATTATACAATTTCATACTATTTAATAATTATAATCACTTTTTAATGTTTAGAAATATATAAATATTTCTACTATTTATATTAATTGTATTACAAACAAGTTATTTTATTTCCATATTTGATGAATAAATCAAATGATATGAAATGTACAAGTTGATTATTTTTCATCTTTCGTATAGAACCAAGACAAAGAAAATAATGTCGAAAGACTTGCATAACTCTTATGCATCGATTATACGACACATTGTTTTATTTTTTAAACATATTCAATCAATTAATTGGAATTGGAATAAATTAGTTTCTAATAAATAATCATCGAGATTTTATAATAATATATAACTATACAAATAAAGAATTAAGGATGAATTCTTATGAACAAATGATTTTGAAAAGTTTAAATTAAAAAAACCAACAAGAAAATTAAAATTGTAAAAATATTTATATAAAAAAAATTGTATAAACAACAATTATTTGTTGAACATTGAAAATTATTGCTACTGAATAAAATATTTGCAAGTAGATTTAATAAAATTTAGTTTTATTCTCATACAAATAATTTTTATAAAGAGATTCTTCGAATTTATCTTGAAGGTGTGAGTGTTTGGATTTCTTCCTTTAGCAAATATCCTGACTCTCTTCGCACACACACCCACACCCACCCTCTGTATTCTTATTATGCGCCAACAAAAATAAACTAGATTAATCACGAAAATAAATATGTATTTCCTTTTTATAATTGAAAAACAAACAGTTATATAAAAGTATCACATGTTATTATACTCTCATGAGTAATATTTTTGAAATATCAAACTGGTCACACTTTATTTGATATGTTCTCTTCCTTTTTTTCTTAATCAATTCGTGTGAAAAATGGAGAAAGTATCATCTCGGAACGGTCGGTTACGAAAGCCCAGTGTTTTTTTAAGTTTTACTGGGCTTTCGTATCGCCTTATTGACAGGGCTTTCGTAATTAAAACTTAATGCACTTTCTTATCGATTTTACAGGGATATCGTATCAGTTTTGACAGGGCTTTCGTATCACAAATATACAGGGCTTTCGTATCGTATTGACAAAGTGTACCTATACATTTTACAGGACCTTCGTATCGTTTTTTGCAGGGTCTTCGTACCGCTCGTACAGGGTTATCGTAAAGCCAAAATTGTTAATATTATTTCAAATCAAATACTATTCACAGAGTTTTTGTATTGATATAAGTATTTTATCAAAGTAACCATGAACAAAGTTCAAGAGTAGCAAGAAAGAACCAGAATATAAATGAACACATCTTAATCTTTTTTTAAAATTTATTTCCTAACAACACAAAGAAGATATGAAGAACAAAAAATAACACAACAACAAAAAGACTTTTTATTCGTTACGAATGGATCGTACTTACTAACTAAACATATATACATATATATATGCTCTCAAGAGTATTCGCAACGAATACCTTGTTTTCTTATGGAGTATTAGTCTTTTAGCTTACGTATCAATGCAATACAAAATTTATTACGAATGCCCTGTTAAAACCGATGCGAAAGCCCTGTTAAATTCCGGTATAAAAGCCCCGTTAAAACTTGATACGAAAGCCCTGTCAAAATCGATACGAAAGCCCAGTTAAACTCAGGTACGAAAGTCCTGTTGAAAAAAAATGACAGGGCTTTCGGGTTACGAAAGCCCGGTATATCCACCGTTCCGAGTTGATATTTCCCCGAAAAATGATCAAGTCAGTTGGAAATAAAACATGAATATCATCAATACTTCTACTATATATAAGTCATGCACAACAGAAGCATTTTTTATTCAAATATCTGATATTTTTCCAAAAGAAAAATGATACTTTCGAACAATAAGCAATCTCACAATGATCATTCAATGAAAAATAAAAAATTAATTAGTCGTCCTATGCGACCATTGATTTTTCCAAAACAACGCTTAGCAAATTCTGTGGATTTGCGTCAATGGATGCCACCTATTGATAATCAACATGATATGAAAACTTGGTATAGATTTATTAAATCATTATATAGCCATATTTATTTATTTATTTGATTATAGTTGTGCTAGTGCATTTGCAGCACTTTGTAATTATTTATTTAAACGTTCGATGGAACGTCAAAGTAATGTATCTCGTTTATTTATTTATTATAATGGTCAAATGATTCAACAACGTACATTAGAAGTTGAAGATAGAGGAGTTTTTCCACAAAATATTGCGTTAGGCTTAAGAAAATATGGAGTTTGTGAAGAAAAATATTGGCCATATGAAAAACATTTATTAAATGAATTACCACCAGATTCAGTATATGAACGTGCAAGTCGCTATACTGTTATCCCACTTCATATGATATGTGATATAAATACTATTGAAACATGTTTACATAATCAGTTACCAGTTCTTATTGGTATTAAATTAATTCAACAAAATATTCAACATAATGGTGGTTATTTAGAGGTTCCTACTAATCTCAACGATCCATTAATTAAAAAAACTGGTATACATGGTATTATGATTGTTGGATATAATAGAAAAACACAATATTTTATTTGTAGAAATTCTTATGGAGAAAACTGGGTAAAAGAAAAAAAACGAATTTTTTCTTTTTATTTCTCCATCATTTTAGGGATATCATGGTTATTTTTATCTACCATATGACTATCTAACTCATCCTCGTCTTATTGATCATATGCGTGGTTTATGGTCGATTTTAAAAATAATACCACGTACAACTACATTACCTACTGTACGTCGATTAGTTGTATCTTAAATGAAATTTGATGACATTATTTAAAGATTATTTTCACTTTTTCTTTTCATACAATGAATTACATAAATGCTTTTAATAATAAAAAATATAGAAAATCAAATTAATACTCTCGTTAGCTTGAGAGTGTAGGTGGGATGATGTTTCGGGTGGAGATTGATAGTCTTACCATCCATCCACACCCACCCTCAAGATGTTGCAAGTGTGTCTGTGTATTTTCAATTCATATTGAGCAGTGATAGATTCTGATGAATTTTTGTTGACTTTTTCATGATCTTGAAATGAAAATTGTATGTTACTTTTTTCCCATTTTATGATTGGTATTACATTACATGTTAAAATATAACCTTTTTTCATTGCTTTTATGTTTTTGATTGTATTTATCTTCAAAAGGTCTTCATCGTCTTTTTAGTAAATCATATGTAATAGATACCTATCATAAAGTAGAAAAAAGCTAGACATGCCGATTTCAAAATTAAAAAAAGAAAGAAAAAGATTATTACTGTAATAATTTCTAGACTGCATCCCACACCCATAAATTCAACGCAGCTCAGCAAGAGATTGATGAAGTGACACATATTTAATCAATCTTGTCTTATTTTTTTGTTTTGTTTTATAAAGGTTATTGAATTAATCAATAAAAACATCCATCGCGGCTTAACTCTTAATTTGATGAGATAAGTAAGAAATATTTCTTTCGAATTAAATCTTCGTAAAAATTACCTGAAGATATTTTTTTTACATAAATACTTCAAATAGAATTTCATAAAAGAAAACAAAATAAAAAAGACTTATTCATTATCTAATTAAATAAAGCGGATATATGAAATTGTATAATTCTACTAAGGCTCAGAAACTATTTTCTACATTGATCATATATGTATACTGTTCTTGAGGGCGTGGGTGTGAGTGCGGAGTGTTTCTTTTTCATTTACACTTATACCCACACACACCTACACTCACACCCTCGACGACGTTTGACAACTATAAAAAATTTAAATAGCAACAATATCACCAGAAGGTAGGTGAGTGAGGGTGTTCTTCTTATGTCACGCCCACACCCTCAATCTGTTTTTCGCACATATATTTAAAAAATCTTTCTACACACTCCGTTCAAACATGTTATATAGAGATGTATAAAATAAGCATCGCTCTAAAAAATCTGCTATATCGCTGTGTGTCCAAATTCAACACTCAAAAAATATGATCATGAATATTTTTATCTATGTGTTACCTATTTTAAGTGTTTTTTGTACCACTTTATACTAAACTTCGTTAATATTTTACATTTAATATATGTCAAAGGACGGATGAATATTAAAAAACTATTATTTTCTACCACACAGTATCTGTTTTTCAAATATACTGAATTAATAACGCCTGCCTTTTGCTATGATCGAGTAAATTTTTGACTACTTCATCCGAACGGTTTGAAAAAGAACTTTTATCATTTTGACCAGTAAATCAACGATTTTGTTCATTTTCTATGAAACTCTGTCTATATAGAATAAATGTGTTCTTATCGATCATATTATTTATAATATATAATTATATGTAACTTTCTTATTTTCGAAAAACGCACAAATGGAGAAGATAAGAAAAAAAAGAATAAATGATAGAATGAAGAAGGAAAAGAAAGAAAAGAAAACATATATATGTATATATGATCCATCAGAAACACGCTGGAATTGCATCATAACAATTTCTTTCTGTTCTATTATCATCGAACATATAATTATTTTCTAGTTAGTTTTATTCGCACTTTCTTATTTGTACTCGATTTTTAAAATTAAAGCGCATCATCATATAATTCAATATGGAACAAATAAAACAGCAACGGAAAATTAGTATCGAAGATTCTGATGATATGAAAAGAAAACAGCTTCATACTGCACGTCAACTTGAAAATTCATTTCGTATTAATTTATCTACAAAATCGGTTAGTTATTTCGAAGATTTATCTAATGAAATTATTTATGAAATATTTGAATATTTTGATTTTTATTATATCTATAAAACTTTTTCGAATCTTAATCAACGATTTGTAAATCTTATTATCAATTCAAATCTTCCGATTAACATCAATATTTCATCTATATCAAAATCAACATTTCAACGTTATTATACAGATATAATTATACCTAATCGACATCGAATAAAATCACTTCGTATAACAAATATATTTGCTGTCAATATTATTTTGTCACCACAAGACAATATATCAAAATTAACTCGACTTGAAACACTTATTTTAACTAATATTTCATCATCATATCTTCGTAATCTTCAATATTTAAGTAATCTACCAAAGTTATCTTCATTAACCATCATTTATAAGGGTTATACTAAATTTGATCGAGCTAAAATTTATCATCAAATATTTCAACTACCAGTTTTAAAGTATTCTAATGTATTATTGGGAGTGGATTCCACGCCTATAGTATCATCATTGTCATTTGCTACCAATAAATATAGTTCAATTGAACATCTCGTTATTAAAAATAATATTGCACTTGATACACTTTATATTATATTATCATATGTTCCTCAAATTCGTCGTTTATCGATTCCTATGTTACTGGCACCTGGAAATAGACAAAATATAACATTTCCGATTACATTGAATAATTTAACATACATATCTCTTAAATTACAGTCTTTCCATTTTCATGATTTTGAACTATAGGCTAAAGATCTCTTTTATAATCTTCAAGTATTACGTCTCTCTACTAGTAAAGAAATAACATATTTAGATGCAAATCGATGGAAAAATTTAATCTTGTCTCATATACCAAATTTAACAATATTCGATTTCCAATATGTGTATTTTGCAGATTATGAAGACAATATGATATCTAGTTATGAAAATCTAATAAAAAACTTTACTACTTCATTTTGGATCGAACGACAATGGTTTTTTTCTACTCAACATTCTCTTGGATTCGATGCAGATGATTTGCTTTTCTCTTCAGTGAAACCATATAAGTATAAGATAAAGTTATTTATAAAGTATAATCTATCTTTGATATTTTTAGAAGAACAACATTTGTATTAGGTGGAGCAATTGAAGAAAAACTAAACTTTGATTCTGTTCATCATATTCAGATATGTAACGATGCATCCACAATCAACAAGTGTGGAAATTATTTTCCAAATACTACGAAATTAAGTTTCACACATTATTCGGCTCCAACTGGCAATTTTATAGATAACAGTTTACCGTATATTATTTCTTTAGAACGACTTACTGAAATAGTTGTTGAAGATGTACCTATATCTTTTATGGAATTAGTTAAATTATTAAGTGTTGCAGTAAATCTTCATAGATTAGAATTTGATTCTATATCAATTGATGAAATAAATCCTGTCACAATTCAGCAAGATGTAATTTTCCAGTTGGTATCCAAGACAAATGTTGTTAAAGATCTGACATTGGTAAATGACAATTGTTCATTGGAAAAAGCTGAATTATTATTTGCCTTATGTCCACGATTACATAATTTTGAATTATATGATGGTTGCATTCCTTTTATAATAAGTCTAATGAAATTAATTTTGTCAAAAACTAATAAGAATAATCGTCATTTATCTTCTTTGTGTTTTTTTATAAAGAAGACTGATGAAACGGAAGAAAACTTGAAAATGGCGATTAAACATGATGAATTACTTGATGACTATATGGTGGGGTGTATTGATAAAAAATTATATATCTGGTGGTAAAATTCAATCAAGAACATTTCTGAACAAATATATCGATTATAAAAACATTAGTTTTGTTTTGATGTTGTTCTTTTTATATGAAAAAAATTCTGAAAACTATACGATTTCATTTTTCTTGTCTTTTATACATAAGGGGTGACTGAATGTGATATAAATATAATACCTATATCCACAATCACACTCTGGATCGTGCCGAAATAAGATTATGCGCTTCTTTCGTCGGAGTCGGAGTCGAAAACATGGGTATTTTCTTGTATCCTACTCCGCCACTTTTCCCTGCTTTTTTCAGAAAAAAACGATTATTTTATTCCTAGAACATTTGGTTTTTTCTAAGCTTGCATATATATAGATATAGATATGCTTATTCCGGCAATAAAGCAGTAGCTCAGTAGCAATCGTATTGATTTATACCCTCTTTACAGTGTATTTAATGCTTGAAAAACGTTCAAACATCCATCCATTTTTCACTGTAAAAAAGAAAAAATCAGCTGGTTAATGACACTCCGCCACCTCTGGTTGAAATACTATCTGGTTTGACTCTCTTAGAACAATGAGACTCGAAGTACAACAATCAAAATCTGTTCGTGTGTAATAATGAAATGAAAATTTTTATAATTTATTTCATAGATATTCTATAAAGATTTGATCAATACTGTAGAATAAATATACTTTGAGTTTGTTTATGCTTGTATATATTAAAGATTCAACTATAAGACAAACAATAAGCACATACAATATAAAAATCGTTGACTACTATTTTGTTTCGATTATTTCCTCAGCATCATCTAATATAAGTGTAAGTTCAGTTAGTTCAACAAGTGAATCAATATTATCAACATGTGTACTACAAGTTTGTACAGGAACCATGAGCATAGTCAAAGCCATAAACCAATATATGATATTATGAAAATATTTAACAGCTTCATACCAACCATATCTATAATTAAGATATTTCCATGTAACTTCTGCATATTTGTTTTGAATATGAAATATTGTAGAAGAATTTGTCGAATCTATTGGAATATTTGGAGAATATAAATAAGTAGTTTTTGATAAAGCAAATAATGAAAGTGCTAATTTAAATATTACAATATCTGAAATAATAAATTTCATTGCCCAGAGAGTTAGAAAAATTGCACGATTGCCAAACATTGCTGTCATAATTTTCAAATAAGAGTCTAGACTATATAAATCAAAATGATGTATAATAAATGCACCAGCCATACAAGATACATTATCTGCAGCATTACGGAGTAAAATGGAACGATCAGAAAATGATAATTTGCAAATATCATCATTCGAACGAAGATATCTTCCAGTTGTTTCATAAAGAGATAATAAATAATTTTCTACAAGTTTTTGATATGTCGCATTCATTGGTTGTAAAGAATTATGTGTATCTACTAAAGATTTACCAAGTAATAGAACTTGAAATTCATCATAACTGTTATATAAATTTGAGAGAAGTGTCCATTGACTAGTAGTCAATAATGAATGATCTGGTTTTAAAGAATTTAATATTGATAACTAAAAAATAAATAAGAAAAATATTTCGTACATTTATATTATCTTATTTTTTCTGATTGGTATTGTGGTCCTACTTTAACTAATGATTTTGTTTTTGATTTAGTCGATCTTGATGGTCGAAATTTTTCAGTAGTCATTCCGAATTGAAAACATTTCCTAAGTCGACATGGTGGACACATATGACGATTACTTCGTTTTATTTCACAATAGCCATCAAAATTACATTTAAATGTTTCCTGAAACATACGATTAACTTTTATTTAAAAATTGAAAAAAAATAATCAAAACTCACCTGTTCAACAATGGCATTTCGTTTAAAAAACATTTTACATGAATTACATGAAATAGCACCAAAATATGCATATTGAGCAGGAGCGCCACATATTCGACATTGAGATAAATTTTGTTTTTTTGTTACTGGTTCAGTTTCAATTGTCAATGGAAGATTTAACGTTGTATTTGTAGATAACATTTTTATTTGTATTCTAAAAATAGGATATGATATTAAACTGAATATGTTTAGATTAATATGTAATAGCCAGGAAAGAAACACAACTTGCGTATATAGAAAAAGAAAATGTTGATGACACGACGTGTTGTTACTCTTACATTCTACACAGAATGAAAAAATGTTTGTTTCATTCTATTATTTGTCCTTCACGTGCTTATATTTTTTTCTTACAGAAACGACAAAATTAATTTTTTTGTTTTACTTTCTTCATTTATTTTCTCGTCATTTCTTTAAGTTCTGCATTTGGCTATAAAACTTAATCTTCAAAGTTGGTATTATAAATCTAGACAATGTATTTATGAATAATATTATTTTATAATTATAAATATCATTTGTGGAATTAAAAAATTACAACAAATTGATATAGTTATATGAACGATATTTATACTCCAAGTCATCCATCAGTTTTCAATAAACAATTATTTATATATTGAATAGCAAACAAATACAGATCAATTTCTATGTCTGAAATTTAATTTTACAATAAAGAAAATTATTTATTGATTGTACTATATTTATTTTTTGTTGCAATTTTTTTCAAAGAACTCAATTCATCAAACGAATGATTTTTAGATAAACAAAACTGTACATAAGAATTTTGTAGCTAATCAAATATCATGTATCATTTCAGTAAGTGGAGCCTTTAGGCCTGAATAGACTCGATCACATGGGAATAGTTTCTATTATAGTTTATTTTTCATGCTCTGATAGATGTTTTATTGTTATAAGATTAGTACACACTTTCTCCGCTATTAGCTTGTGTCCACCGAAGTATTTTTATGGGATTTTGCTGACGTGGTATCTGTATCGATATCGAATTATTTGTTTTTCAAAATCCAACATTTATTCATTAAACTCCATTAGAAAAGGATTAAAAATTTGTTATAATCACACACTTTTAATCAGAAATAACTGGAAAAACTAAAATTTCCTTGATAACTATGATGAATTGCGCGTATAATCCAAGTTCATTCTAATAATCAAGGGAATTTTGATTGTTTCATCATTTCTCATTAAAAGCGTATGATGGTAACAGTTTTCTCGCCAAAGTTTTTTACATAAGAATGTCGGTTAAACAAAATCAGATTATATCTTTTCAAAGTAGAAATTAGGTGTACTGGATTTGAAATGCATCCGTTCTGGTTTTATTTTAGACAACCAACGCTGAAAGACTTTTTTGTGCACGAATAGTTTTATCTTTTCTTCATCTATTTTTTGAATATTTCCAAGCAGTATTTCTATGTTGCACTTTTAGTTAATGTTTTTGCTTGAAAAAATAAAGTATGATGCAGTGTTATTAAATTTCAACACGAATTAAGGTCAGGAAGAAAGACTAAGCGATGAACAGTTAAAATAATCTTCATCTGATTTGCTATCTGAAGTGATTCGTTTGAAAAAATTGAGCCTGTCGTAGAGTCAAACTGTTCCGCCGTCCATGTATTTGCCACAAAAGCATACTGGTATTTTTCTTCGAAAATTCTACCAGAACGTCTATGATTATAGTATATTGGTTTTGTGTATTGAAAAAATTGGATAAGAACGCTACGAAATGTGTTATATCTTTTATCAAGATTTTAACTCTGTAATTGTTAAAAATGATACTGAATCTCATTAGATATATATTGAGAAGCATCTTGAGGGTGTGAGTGAGTAATAAACAAAATACTCATATCCACACCCACACCCACAAGATGGTAACTGATAAATCGCAATGCATTGACGATTTTTCTCAGTATTTGGGAAATCATTAGATAATTCAGAATTCTTTTGCTGAAATCGCGATCCATCACTAGAAAAGTGCGATGATTTTGGCTACGTGGATGTATTCAGGAAAAAGTCATTCTTCATGTTGTATATTATTCTGTTTTATGCTTCTTGAATATGTATAAAATTCTACTTTTTCGCTAATAAACCATGAACAGAGTTGTACTGAAAAGGTTTCATTTCAAAAGTAGTGATATATTTATACATTTGTATGCATATTAAGAATTATTATAAGTACTCTGATTCATCCTTATTTTAAATTTATAATTCATGTAAGATGGAAATTATGCGTGGTTAAATCTTTTTTGTCGTTTGTTGATGATGAATGTAATTTTTTACAAGCTTTTCTTAGTTATCTACATAATGGTCATTTACAGACTTTCAGTTGAAAGAATATAACAAGAAGAAGGATAAATAAAGCTACTTTAAACATTTAACAATATAAATAATTTTCTTCACTTGCGATTCTCCAATAACAAACATGACTCAACACGTTTTTTCTCCATTAAAGCAAATCAACCATGACATTATTACATCAGTGTATTATTTTCGTTCTTCACTATTTCTTTTTTATAACCACGTTATCATGAGACAAAAAAAAACCATTTCGAAATTACGTAGACACTTATTAAATGAGCCGATTTCGATTATTACCTCACTAGTAAACTATACACAATAACTTGGATTCAAAGCATTCACACAATCAACAATGAGCAATAGAAAATCAATAGCAAATAACGAATCTGATGGCGCAATGAATAAATATCCATTTCCAGAAGATGCAGAAGGTCGTCGACGTATCAATATTCAACGCATGCAAAATGTTCTTCTTATCTGGTTAGACAGTAACATTGACGAGACAAATAATGATTGCCAAAATACAATCAAACAACTGCGACGGGCTATCAACGACATCAATACATTTACAGAGGGTGATCAATGCCTAGAATTCATTGAAACAATCGTTAACAAAAAAGGATGTATGATTATATCTGGATCACTTGGACAACATATTATATCTCGTGTGCACATTATGTCTCAAATTGATTCAATTTTTATTTTTTGTGACAACCAAAACTATCATGAACAATGGGCCAAAGAATGGCCTAAAATAAAGGGTGTCTTCACAGATATTACATCCATCTGTAAAGCACTCAAATCGGCAGCTCATCAATGTGAGCAAAATGCCATTCCAATGAGTTTTGTGGGATTAAACAAAAAATTGGATCATTTAGATCCTTCTTTTATGTATATACAACTCATCAAGGAAATATTACTGAGCATCAAGTTCGAACAAAAATACATTCAAGATTATATTAATTACTGTCGCGATGTTTTTGGTGACGATGAAGAAGAAATGGTTCATATTAAACAATTTGAAGATGAATACTACGATGAACCACCAATTTTTTGGTACACCTGTCAAATGTTCTTGTATCCCATGCTCAATCGTGCATTACGGTTGATGGATGGTGATATCATTACACGGATGGGTTTCTTCATTGCTGATTTGCATAGAAATATTGAACAACTACACAAGGAACAGTATGTTGGTAAAACTGCTACTGACACCTTCACTCTTTATCGTGGGCAAGGTTTATCTAATGCGGATTTTGAACAAATGATGAAAGCTAAAGGTGGTCTTGTTTCATTTAACAACTTCTTATCTACCAGTGAAAACATCAAAGTTTCATTAGGTTTTGCTGAAGATGCTGCAAAAAATTCAGACCAAATAGGAATTCTTTTTATCATGCATATTAATCTTGCTCAATCAACAACACCCTTTGCTTCCATTGCTAGTATCAGCGCTATGAAAAGAGAAAAGGAAGTTTTATTTTCGATGCATAGCGTGTTTCGTATCCAGGATATTAAACAGATGGATGGAAATGATCGTTTATATCAAGTTAACTTGGAACTGACTGCTGATAACGATCCAGAATTAAGCAGACTTACTGATTACATCCGAGAAGAGAGCTTGCCAGGTTCTGAAGGATGGTATCGACTGGGATTAGCACTATATAATATGGGTCAATTTAACAAGGCTGAAGATATTTATCAAGTTTTACTTGATCAAACAGACGATGACGAACATACGGCACCTCTTTGTCGTCAACTTGGTTTAATCAAACGTGCTCAAGGAAAATATGAAGAAGCACTTTCTTATTTTGAAAAAACCCTTGAAATTCGACAACAATCACTTCCTCTCAATCATACTGATTTGGCTGATTCCTACGAAGTTGTTGGTAATGTGCATGACAACATGGGTAATTATCCTACAGCACTTTCATCTCATGAAAAAGCCCTTGAAATCCGACAAGAATCACATTCTCCCAATCATCTTGATTTGGCTTCTTCCTACAACAACATTAGTAATGTGCATTACAACATGGGTAATTATCCAAAAGCACTATTATTTCAAGAAAAAGCCCTTGAAATCAGTAAACAATCACTTCCTCCCAATCATCCTGATTTAGCTCTTATGTACGGCAACATTGGCACAATACATAGCACCATAGGTAATTATTCCGAAGCACTTTCATTTCACGAGATAGCCCTCGAAATTCAAAAACAATCACTTCCTCCCAATCATCCAGATCTGGCTATGTCCTACAATAACATTGGGGAAGTGCATAACAGCATGGGTACTTATCCCGAAGCACTTTCATTTCA